GAGCGGAGACGGGCTAAGAAGGAGCGGAAGGAGAAGGAAGGGGGAGTGGAGAACGAGCGGAGGAGGAGCAGAGGAGCGGAATGGAAGCAGGGGAGCGGGGGAGCAGTGGAGGAGGCGTTGAGGATGAGCGGGGGAGGAGGGGCGGAGGAGGAGAGGCAGACGAGGAGCAGGAGAGGAGAGGTGTGGAGAAGCTGCAGAGAAGCTGCGGTTGATGAGGGGGAGAGGGACGGAGGCAAGGCAGATGAGCGAAGGAGGTGGGTCGGAGGCGCGGAAAAGTTGCGGAGGTGGCAAGGAGGATGAGCGGAGGAGGAGAGGTGGAGCTGCAGAGGAGCTGCAGAGGAGCTGCAAGGAGGAGCGGGGGAGGAGGGCCAGAGGTATGGAGGATGAACGGAGGGGCGGAGGAGCAGGGGAGGAGCAGCAGAGTAGGAGCGGACGATGAGAGAAGGCAGGGAGGAGGAGAGGGGGAACTGCAAGCAGACCAGCAAGCACGCACACACTCAGACTTAGAAAACTTAGCAACAAACAAGCGGGTAGGACTGACGACGGCCTGGATCAGAGATAGGTTCCCTTGGCGGTTTTAATAGTGTAGGGAATCTAGGGATGAAATAGCTAGGAGATACACCCTACAAGGCTTCTCTTGTGCTTACCTTAACATGCATATCATTACATGGCAGGACCCCAAACTGGGAGCTACCTAATCAGGTGAGAGAGCAAAACCTCACCTCGTTCTCGCCCAAACGGAAGTAAAACCAGGAGAGCATGATTGAGCCAACGTAGCCTGGCCCACAAAACAGCTATCTACCCTGTATCATGTGGTATACCCCAAGGGAGAGTCTTGAGTGCCCAACCATTACGCTGTTGTGCTTCTTGGAGGAAATGGTGGGTTTGTTGGTCGTTGGGGTGTGGAAAGGAAGAAGAACCCAGAGACCTTCCTGACTATGGTGGAAGGCTCCTTCGCTTTGGTGGGAGATGCATTGCCATGCCGCTTGTCTTCTAGCCTTAGCACACAACTTTCTTCATGTTTGGAGTGCGTACCATGCCCACGTTAGTACAGAGGCATTAGCACACCAATGGAATTGGACTTCAAGAAGAGGAACTGAGTTTCAAGAATTGGCAGCTTCATCCCTATGCTGGTCATGTAGGAGGTGGAGAGAGAGAGAGAGAGAGAGAGAGAGAGAGAGAGAGAGAGAGAGAGAGAGAGAGAGAGAGAGAGAGAGAGAGAGAGAGAGAGAGAG